ATATATTAAGAACTCCTATAACTCAACAACAACAACAAAAGTCAATTAAAAAATGGGCAAAGGGGCACCTGGGTGGGTCAGTTGGTTAAGCCTCGGACTCCTGGTTTTGGCTCAGATCATGATCTCGAGGATTGTGGCTCCATGCTCAGCAGGGACTCTGCTTGAAGATACTCTCCCTCTGCCCCTCCCCCACTTGTGTGTGTGCGCGCACATGAGTGTGAACTCTCTCTCCCCCCCAAATAAATAAATCTTAAAAAAAAAAAAAAAGGCAAAGGACCTGAACAGACATTTCTCCAAAAAAGATATACAAATAGCCACAGGCATATGAGAAGATGCTCAACATCACTCTCTAATCACTATGGAAATGCACATCAAAATTACAATGTGATACCATTTCACACCCGATAGGATGGCTATAATCAACAAAACAGAAAATAACAAGTGTTGACAAGGATGTGGAAAAACTGGAATCCATGTCCACTGCTGCTGGAAACGTACAATGATGCGGCTACTGTGGAAAACAGCATGGCAGTTCCTTCAAAGGTTAAACACAAAACTGCTAATATAATCCAAAAATTCCACTTCCGGGTTCATACCCAAAAGAACTGAAAACAGAGACTCAAACAGGTATTTATACATTCATTACTCACAACAGCCAAAATTTAGAAGCAACCCAAAATGAAAAGATAAATGTGCTATAGTACAAAGGAGTATTATCCAGCTTTAAAAAGGAATGAAATTTCACATATGCTACAACATCGATAAACCTTAAAAATGTTATGCTGAGTGAAATAAATCAGTCAAAAAAAGCCAAATACTGTATGATTCTACTTATATAAGATACCTAAAGTAGTCAAATAGAATGGTGGTTGTCAAGGGCGAGGGTGGGAGGGGAATGGGGAGTTATTGTTTAATGGGTACAGAATTTACATTTGGGATGATGAAAAAGCTCTGGACATAGTGGTATAGTTATATAACATTATGAACGTATTTCAAATGGTAAACTTTATGTTACATATATTCTGCCACAATAAAGAAAAAAAACAACCATCAGACCATATTTTCAGCCCATTGAGAGAATCCCTTATTAAAGGCCAGTTCTCCTGATGGCCTGGGCATCCTTCCCATGGCAACGAGCCTTGAGGATGCTATGTTGTCCTTTGTATTCTGACCTCAAGACCAGTCCCAGTAATCTGGGCCCCAAATCCAAGCCAACAGCGCAGGTTGGCTAGCCACTGAAAAGCTGAGGCTTGAGCTTCCCTAGGCCAGGCAGTTTTCGAGCAGAACCGTCTGACAGGGCCAACAAGTTGCCAACAAAAGCAGAAGCCAATCTGGCTAGCTTTCACTCTCTATTACTTCCCCTTTCACTTTCCCATAGGATGGCCATGCAGAAAGGAAACAGGGGCCAGACTGACCAGCCTCTTTAAAGGTGGAAAGTAGGGCGCCTGGGTGGCTCAGTTGGTTAAGCGACTGCTTTTGGCTCAGGTCATGATCCTGGAGTCCCTGGATCGAGTCCCGCATCGGGCTCCCTGCTCGGCGGGGAGCCTGCTTCTCCCTCTGACCCTCCCCCCTCTCATGTGCGCTCTCTCTCTCTCTCATTCTCTCTGTCTCAAATAAATAAATAAAATCTTAAAAAAATAAATAAAAAAAAATAAAGGTGGAAAGTTGAGTCCCTGTTTTCCCCCATTCATCGAAGGTCTAAATATTTACTGTCCTTTATATTTTGTAGAATTAATAGTTTTTGCTCATCCAACAAGAGCAGAACTGACAAGCTCCACCCTCTGTGGTCTCTAGTGCCCTTTCACAGATGACCCTGTCAGATCTCAAAATAACCCAGTGAGAATTAATATAGAGGGGTTGTTATCCTCCATTGCACACATGAAGAAACAGGCTCAAGGAGATGAAGTAATTTATCCCAAGTCCCACAGCCCCAAGTGACAGGGCCAGGGTTTGCACACAGGTAATGAACTTCAGAGTTCTCCTTCCTCTTGACTACTCGGACAGATCAAAGAGGTGGAAATGGAATCGGACCATTTTGGTGTCAAACAAAAGCAAGGAAGATGCTTCCAAGTTTGGTAACTAATAGGACTAGGAGGTCCATCCCCAGAGAAGTAGCCTGGGAAGAACTAAGTGCCCTCCTCTTTCCCTGAGGTGCACCCTGACCTAGAAATGGGTCTTTCTTTTGGACTTTTGCCAGCTGGGCGCTCAGAGCACCGTCCCGTACTGCCCTGCCCAAGGCGCGCTGGAGGACAGGGGAGGGTCTGCCAGATGCACTGAATTTCACCAGGTTGGAAGGCCAGCTGGGTCGTGGGGAAAGGGGGTGCTTCAGGGCGCTCACTGGCGAAACACCAGATGGTAGCCAAAAAACGCGTAACGCGCTAACCACTGCCCATCCCGCCCCGTGCATGCGCGGCGACGGCACCAGCGCCAAAAGACTCCCAGCCAGCAAGCACACTTGGTGGGCGGGCTCCTACTCCTCGCGCAAGCGCCACCCGCGCGCGCATGCGCGTCCTCAGCAGCGGCCTATTCCTAGTAGTCCCCTGTCGTCTCGTTCTTGTTCTGTATCCGAACACTGGCTACTTCAGTCACAGTCCTCACTCTGCATTCCTCACCTTTCGCCCGGTTTTTTCCCGAAGGGCTTTCAGCCGTTCCTTTCGCCGCAACGCCTCCTCCTCTAGCCGGCCCACACCAGCCGCAGTAGCCGCCATCTTGCCCACCCTCCTCTTCTCTCGTCCTGCATCGCGCAGGCCCAGGGAGTAGATGAATCTCTGGCGGCCAATCCAGGGACGAGAACTGGAGAACAGGAAGTCGTGAAAGCCAATCAATACTGAGTTGCTATAGGAGGGCCCGCCCTACCTTTCCCAGCAACTCGCCTCGCCTGTTGGGGGAGGGCGCGGCAAAGAAAAAGGCCGTAAGGCTCGATTCGTCCAATGCCAATCAGTGAGAAAGGTGCGAGTGGAATCAGACCTGAGTGAAGGAGGATAGAGCGCGTCGATCGCTGGGCTTTTGCCTAAGCAAGCGCCAACCACAGCTCACTTCCCTACGGGACGCTTGGAATGCGCTTGGCCCAACCTTGTCCCCTTGTCCTGATTCTTCAAGGCCTGAATGCTTGCAAGAAGTCTTCCCTGACCCTCCACTCCGATCCCAGTTTAATAAAAGATCTGCCTTTCTTCCTCTACAGGTACCAGTGACTTCCTGGATGCACTGGTTCATGGGCCCCTAGGCCCTCTGTGTCCACTCTCAGCTCAGATAAAGCCTGTGCGGTGCAGGGCTTGGCTGGATGGCCATTTCCTCCAGGCTCATGGATGATCCCCTCCCACCTCCAAGCCCCCTGAAGCAGCAAAGTACTCTGGGTCAAACTACCTAAACTGGAGAAGAACAAACCCCCAACCTGGGCCCACTGGGCCCCAGGAATCCCCTGAGCTTAGTTTCTGAGAACTACTGAGAGTTGATTTGGCCTTGACTGCAACAGGTGGCAAAGAGTGCACTGCTCGCCGGCAGGGGCTGCCAGGGTCTTCTTTCCTGCGTTAACCAGCATGCCCCAACAACCAGGAGACCACTCTGGCTGAAGTTAAGACCTTCTGACAGGATGTCAAGGTCCCCAAAGCCACACAGAGGCCTCCCTCCCCCCAACACATACCATGACTCATCTCTCAGCAAAGCTGTTTCCTGCTTGGGGCCTCCCTTCCCAGGCTGGTAGCAGGTGGATGCCCACTCCTCCCACTTCCCTTCAGAGGCCCCTGTGCCATAAGACCTCTGTCCAACCCCTCCAAAACGACCCTCTTGACCTCACTAGCTGGGGCCTTTCGGTGCCCTGTTCCCCTGCATCCGGAGGGGTGACTTACCAGAAACTGTACCAGGATCACAGGTAGTACCAGGTAGTAGGTGCTCAGGAAATGTCAGCTCAGAGGTAGGATGGACAGGGCAAGAAAAAAGGCCAGAGTGGAGAGGCTGCCCAAGAAAAAGTCAGGAGGACGGAAAAGGATGGGAATGGGGAAAGAGTCTGTTTTCTCTTGGCCAAGGTCTGAGGGACGCCAGACTCCAGTTCCTCTAACTTATAGTACCTTTCTGGGCTCCACAAACTTCTCCCCAACTCCAACACAGGGCCTGACCCCTGCCCAACACCAGGGGGGCTCCTCACCTCCCAGGCAGGCTGGTTGGGGGGGGGCAGGGAGAGATGGAGGGGTGATGGTGGCAGTGGGCCAGCAAAGAGTCAGTCAGGCCTCCATCCCCGTCCATGCTGTCCCCAATTACCCAAGTGATTCTCATTTGGCCCATCTGGGCTTCAATTTCTCCATCTGTAAAACTGAGGCATGAGACATCCTCTTGCCTTTATCCTCTTGAGGTTAAGGAAAACAAAAGATGTGAAGACAAATGCTGGGCCCTAGAGTGGATGATGCCTCTACTGGAGCATCTGGGAGGCTTCTTGGAAGAGGGGACCCGTGAGGATTGCCTAAATCTCCCAGGGATCTGCAGGACAGACGAAGGGCACTGCTCTCTGATGTCCCCCATCCTGCTCCACAAACAGTAGGAGCAAAAACGTGGCAGTCGGTCTCTGCATTAAAACGCTTAGAACAGCACCAGGCACGTGGTAAACTCTACAGGTGGCCGCTGGTTGTCGTTACCATTTGTTGAAGGACTCTGGCCATCTGAACGCGGGCCCGCAGCCCCTGCCCCCCCACCTGGCGATGGAGACCCCATCCTTGCACGAAGGGTGGCAAATTCCAGGCAGGCGCACTGTGCAGCGGGCAAGCCTGGAATACCTGACCCCGACCCTCGTCCGGGAGGCTCAGATTGGCCCTTCCCGAGGCACCGTCGGGGGCGCGGACTGCTGAGGGCGGGACTGCGGGGCGCCCTCCCGGGCCGCCCTGACCTCAAGCCCCTCCTCCCTCCAGGCTCCCCGCCCTTTGCACGGTCCCGGGAGAGGCGGGGCGGTGGTAGCGGCAGCTAAGTGCAGGAAGCCGGGCGGCGGCCGGCCGCGAGGAGGAGGAGCGTGCAGACTTGGGTGGCTCAGCGCGGCGGGGGCCAGTACTACTTCCCCGAGTAGTACCGCGCCGCTCCGCCCCGGAGTGACGCCCTCCGCCCATGGGCCTGGCCGAGGGCAACCGGCGGGCGGCGCGGAGGAGGCGGCGGCGGCAGGTGGCGCGCAGCAGGGCCGGAGCCGGGCCGGGCCATGGCCGCCTCGGAGCGGCTGTACGAGCTGTGGCTGCTCTACTACGCTCAGGTGAGCCCGCCCCGTGCCGCTCCCGCTGTGCCCCCAGCTCCGCGCGCCCCGCGCCCGCTGCACCTGCGCCCCGCGTTCCTGGGGCCGCGTAGATGCGCGCTCGCGCGGGGCGGATTCGGGCCCCGCACACACGTGTGCACCGCCCCCGGCCCGCCGGTGCCTCTGGCTATTCTACCTGGGGGATGATCCCGGCGGGAGTGCACCTCAGAGAGCCTCTCGGGTGGGGACCGCGCAACCTCGGTCGCGCCTGATGGGGAGAGGGGCCCGGATCGAGGCGGCCGGACACCTCCCCCTTTTCCAGGTGGAGAAACTGAGGCTCGGAAAATAAATGAGAGACCTTGTTGGGTTGGGAGGGGCAGGAAGGCTTAGTTTGCATTTGGGCTTGACTCTCCTGTGGGCGCGGCCCTATTGGGTGGTCATGGCCGAAGGGTCTGAGTGGGCTGGGGGCTGGGGGCTGTCAGCAGGCGGGGGCGGGGAGAGGTAGGGGGCGTCCCTACTTTGGTCCAATTTGAGTCAACTCAGACTACGCCGCATCAGTGCGCTGGCAGTGATGAGCTCCTCCCTGACCCTGAGCCGAGGAGGCCCCTACCCCACCCCTGGGTAGACCTGGGGGTCCAGCCAGAAGAAAAGATTTGCCCTGGATGCAGGAGGGAGGGAATAGGGCAGGTGAGGTAGGAGGGATGTTTGAAAGGGATGGAGGGAGGCCCTTTCCTCCTGACCTCCCTGTCCTGTCTCAGAGACTACCTCCTGTGGCCTCAGACGGTGAAGGGAGTGACTCTGACCCAGGTGTCCTGTCAGAGCTGAGAACCTCGTGTGCCCCAAACTCTGTGTCTCACGCACATAGGCTCCCACTTTCCTTCTGCTTTCACAGCAGGGAGGCGTCCCAGGGTAACACCCCCCTCCTCTTCACCTAGCTTCGGCCTCCCTCCCTGCACCTGCCTGGCATCATGCTCCTGGCTCAGGTGTACCCTGGGCACAATGGACTATTGTGTGCCCCTGATCTCGTCACTTGGGGGAAGTTCATGACTAGATCAGCTGGCCCTCTGTGAAGAGGCTGGCCGGCTGTCTCCTAGGACTGCAGGCTGGGTCTGGGGCCCTAGGGACCTGGAATCCAGGCCATAAGGACTGCGGCTTCTTGAGTCCACTCCGGTGGTGAGAGATCCAGGCCCCTGGTAGGAGGCAGCGTGTGTAGAGTCCCTCTTTGGTGTGACCCAAGGCAAGCTCTTTACACCTCTGAGCCTCTACTTCTCTATCTGTAAATTCGGCACAGCCCTGACCTCAGGGTGGCCTAGACTCTGCAGAGGGGTAGCCCGTCTGGCTTGTCCGGGCCAGAGAAAACTCCTGCTTCCCTGGCCCCACTGGGTCCCCTCACCCAGGCCTCTCTGTCTACATCTCCAAGGGTTGGTCCTTGTGAAGGGAAAAGATTCAGAAGGAAACCCGTCCCTGGCCCTCATGCCTCTGATTGCCCAGATGGCTGTGGGCAGATTCTCAGTCCTCAATTTTTTCACCTGTGACCAGGTGAAGGGGGGCTCGAACCAGGTAATGAGTCCGAGGGATGTTAACGTCAGTGCTGCTGGGGGACTGCGGTCTCCCAGGACTGGACCTCCAGCAGAGCATGGTTGCCTCCTCCTGCCCTCTCCAGCTGAGCTCTGCAAGTGGCCAGCCCCCGCCCCATTCCCTCAGCAGGGGGTTAGCACTCATTTCGGCTGAGTTCCCTCTCCCCATCCAGCTCCTCACCTCACCAGGGCGGGTCTGGGGCACAGGCTGGCTGGTTGGAGCCCCAGAGGCCTGGGCAGTCAAGGGGCGGCCTAGGGCCTGGCAAACAAATCCAGGATGTGAGTATGAACCGGAAGCTCGGCCAACCTCCCAGCACTGCCTTCCTGCCCACTTGGTCCTGCTCCTGCTCCCGGAACAGGTCGCCACCCCTCCATGCTGGGCTCCCAGGGAGTGGTGGCTATGCTACTTTGAGCCCTGCTAGGGACCTATTGTGTGGGTGTGCTTGGGGGAGGGAGGAAGATAAGGGAAGAGGTTGAACTGATAGAGGGTGTCAAGAGACCCCTGAGTTGGCCAGCCACCCAGCCAGAAGTTTCTCCCAACAACCGTGCCCCTCCCCTCAGCTGAGAGAGCTGACATCAGCTGGCAAACCTGTTTTCCCAGTTGTGGATCTAGGCCCGCCCAAGGGAGCACCCCCTTTCTGCCCTTCCTTTCTCCTCACAGACCCCAGGTTCAGACCCACCCGCCCCCCTCCCTCTGTGGGCCCTGCTCAGCTGGGGGCCACAAGTGGGGAAGGTGGCTGCAGGTGGCCTCCGAGGGAGGAAGGAGGGCCAGACTGCCCCTGGACATCACTTAGTCTGAGCCCCTCGGGGCCCTGGTGGGGAAACCAAGGCGGGGTCATACCAAGGTCATGGGACACGTTTGGGGTAGAGTCCATCAGAGCTCCAACCCGGTCTTCCTCCTGTGTTCCATTGCCCAGGAAAGGTCTAGTCCTGTGGACAGGAGGCCTCTGGTGGGTCTGCACCCTGGGATGGCACAAGCGGTTTCCTCTAGCGTGGAGCCTTCTCTCT